AGTCCTCTTGTTTGCCTACACACTTTGTTGAATAGATTGCAAGCGAAATCAAACTGAGCATCATAGTCACATATTGTTATTGTTGTGGCAATGTGTGCGACTAATCAAGTCAGTCATGTCCACCTTCACAGGTGAGAATTCTTTTAGTGTCTTTTCTTATAGGAGTCTTACGTTCTCCATGTAGCGAACATTCAACACTGCTTACGTATTCAACCCGTGAGGAGAGAGAGAAAGCACTGGCACACACACACACACACACACACACACACACACACACACACACACACACACATATATATATGTATTTATGTGTGTGTAATAAATTTAGGTATGTAATCCCGACAGAGGTATTAGTTATTGACAAATAACTTATGCGAAATGCATTATCGGATATTATTTTCGAAACAAACGTTCATGAAAGTATGTTTCGAAAATAATATCCGATAATGCATTTCGCCTCTATGGGTTCATCATACACACACAACACATTTTTCGTTATCCATCTGATTATCGGATATTATTTTCAAAACATACCTGAACGTTTTTCCAAATGTGAATATATATATATATATATATATATATATATATATATATATATATATATATATATAAAAAAAAAAAAAAGACAACTTTAAGGCTCTATTTGTTATAATTTATTTCACCAGAGAGTTTTATTTTTCTCTGGATCCTCAGACTTCATTTTCAAAGGTGAAACGAAAAATTAATTTAAAATTTACACTTTTGACAGGCAGTATTAAGTTTATATAAGTTGACATTGAAGGTGGTAAGGAATAGTGTGAGAGACATGGTCGAGTTTGGAGAGGGAAGGGAGAGATTTAGAATTTCTTTTTTTATTACAACACAATATTGAGGAAGGAGTGGTTAAGGATCAGACATTGATCTATTTAATCGGTCAACTCAACGGAAATGATATGAGGAAAAGGAAAAAAGGGAAAAAAAGGAAAAAGGAAAAAAAAAGCGGGGGAATAAAGGGATAAGATGTAAGAGATGTACGTAAGGTTTTTGGAGGAAGGAGAAAGGTGGTATATCTTTAGCAATTTAGATAAACGCAGATATTAACGTTTGATAGTAATTTAAATGTTTAAAAACTCCATAAAGAAATTAAATTCAATGCTTGTTAGCAATTTAAATATTTAACTTCTCCACAAATAAATTAGGGATTTAATATAAGCCGACTATTTTGGATAGACTTTTACTCTTAGATCATTATCAGCACTGTTTTAAATTGTATCAAGGAAAGGTAATGGTAATGGCTTGTTTTTGTTTCATAAGAAAATTCAAATGTAGCCCTAGTTTATTTACAAGACCTTGTAATAATGATTTGTAGGCACATTAATACACCGGGAATATGTTGATTGTTTCAGGAAGTTTTCTGAAAAGTATTTGTTTCTAGAAAAGTTAAAAAAAGACAAACAAAAACAAGTTACCGCGAAGATGCAATCCTCATCGGTAATACAATTTTTGACTTTAAAAGTTATTATCGAAAATGTAATAACACTGGCTCGTAATAATTTGACAAATCCTTACGTTTTCTATCGATAGAAAAGATATTTTTCTTAAATTTCTTTTTTAAACTGAAGAATTTGTTAACAGATACGTTATTGTATAAGGATTTAATATTGAATCTAGCTATGAATGAATCTTTCATATTTATATTTTAATCTTTGGATAAGTTTTTAGTAATTTTTAATACGGAAAAGTGGTTGTGTTTTAAAGTTTTGTTCTAATTTTTGCTAGTAGAGAATTGAAAATTCAAAATAGGCCACATAGGTTTGCTTATCGTCCGGTTTACACTCCTCTTTTTTGAACAGGAGTAGAGGTTTATCTCTTGTTTCCTTTTTAGGATTGGGTTTCCGGTTCCTTATAAAGTCTTTTCCTTCTCTATCACTTCCATTAGCCCCCATTGCGTTTTAATAGCGTTATCGCCTTGGGGTGAATTGATTTAAAAAAAAAAAAACCTGTGGGTTTAGGTTAGACCATTAAGTCTGACTATCAAAAGAGGCCAAAATAAAATTACATTTCAAACTCGTCACAACACGTTACATTGCATCTAGACATATGGTTCTATTGTTAATATATCGGCCTCTCGCGTGGTATGACGTCATAGAACCGCATCTTGAAGTTACGAACCGCGTCTGCTATTCCTCGACCGTTATCGTTGCATAGTAATCTTCTATGTTAACATAACAGAATATTACCTTTGATAGTGAATATCTTTGTTGAAATGTCTGTATAACCATTCTGAAGATGGTTCATGTGAGCCGAAAGCTTGGATCAAGGACCAACTTAAAAAAAATATGAAAATGTTGGAAATTAAAGCAAACATACGAACATTAGAACGGCTCCTGATCAGACATAATAGACATTTATTATCTGTTATATTTAACAATATATGTTTAAATAATGATCTGCTGCCCCAATACACTATATATATATATATATATATATATATATATATATATATATATATATATATATATATATATATATATATATATGTATGTATACCTAAGTATAGGATTGGTGTATACGGAATAAATTCCAATAACCAATAAATACTATTCTTAAATGAGTGCTCAATACATAGTGTTCAAACAAATGGGTATTTTTGTAGTGATTTTATAACATATTTATGTTATATATATATATATATATATATATGTATGTATGTATATGTGTGTGTGTGTGTGTGTGTGATGGATGGTTGCTCGTTTCTGAGTGCACCCGTCTGCTAAGACGGCTAGCTAATCCCTGTGGCAGATGCCTTCTCAGGCACATTTGTGTTTGTTCAATACCTACAGACCCCCTTGTAGCTTATAATGCAACTATGCTGAGTGAACCTTTGTTAAAATGTCTGGGAGTGGGTCCATCATCTAGCATGACCAATTTTTGAACAAGGGCAGTATACTCAAATCCTCGGTCACGATGGCATGTGAATTCGTGCCACACGCACACACATGCTATGGATTTGAATACAATATGCATACACTCATATTCCTGCTTTGATAGCCGCAAATTAATTTATCTGATGATTGGTTTTGACTAATACCCTCATCTTCGTTGTTGTAATCAGTATATTTCAGCCGATCTGTTCTCCGGTCTTCGTCAGATGTTTACCTCATCGGATATTTTTTCTTACCAATCTTCATGACTTGATTTATCTGCTCCAGTAAATTTTTTATTGAAGATTACCATATATGAGGCACAGCTGATGAATGCCGGAGACCTGGACGGTCTTATTATAAAGGATAAAAAAATAAAATTTCGAATGATTAATCAAACAGTCAAGACAACATACCCATTATTTGAATTGGTGTCTTCATGTTCGATATTTCAAGTCACAAGGCTTCGGCCGATGTATTCCTCGATCTTCTTTAAGTGCCTTATCATAGTCGGTAACGTTACAATTAGAGTTTGAATAATTTATCATCGCAGAAAGTCAGACAGAACATACCCAAATATAGAGATCCAAACCGAATGCTCACATAGAATTTCATATGGAATCTAGAATTTGGTTAGTTCCATAAAAATATTCCTCAATCCTAAAGAATCGTAAAAGTGTTGTGAAAAGTTTTGAAATTCACCCTCTGCCTGTCGGAACTCGCTCACATATGTTTGTAAGAGTCTCTAAGTCTCAAATATCATTTTAATTAATAATTAGACGGACTTAAAAAGTCAACGACTAATCTGGGGTATTAAAGGCATAGTCTTATTACTCTCTCGAGTAAAATGCCCACCCGTTTCTTATGTCAAATTATTTGCAGATGTTTACCAGTTTTTACTAAAGAATCTTTGAACTTGAAAAAAAAAAGAAAGAAAGAATTTCAGTTCTGTTTAGGTTTCTAGTTGATTTTTTGTCAGAAGAATTCTAACATCTGTCGTTTGCATCAATTTATTATTTGGTTGTACTACGTGAAATGTCGGAATGATGCCTATTATATGATTTAATGTTATCATGATGTAGTTGTGCACTATACAGTATTACTAACGATTTAAATATGTTTCCTTATAAGGAAAGGGTTAATATTAGCATTACCATTATAATACTATTCTTGTATTATTGTTAGGTTCACAACAAGTCAACTTTATTGAACTGTTACGTAATATCAGTCCGCCTATATGGTACTGAATGCTGGACAATCTCCACAAAGATGAACAAGAGACTTGAAGCAACAGAAATGTGGTTCTACAGAAAGATGCTGAGGATACCATTGATCTAATATGTGAACAACGTCGAAGTTTTAGAGAAATGGAACCGAAAGTACACTTAAACTTAATATCAGGAAAAGACAGTTGAAATATCTAGAGCACATAATGGGGAAAAGGGCTTGGAGAATTTGACACTCACAGGACAGATTGAAGGCGAGTTGGACAGAGGAAAACAACGCATAGCCAGTGTGAGTAAATGGATGGCGGAAGAGGATTTAGGAGAGATTAAAAGAAGAGAAAATTTATTATGATCTACAAAGCACAGCACATGTTGGAGAGCTGTGATCTCCAACGTGCTCAAGGGACACAGCACATAGAAAAAGAAGAAGTGCGTAATATTGTATTAATATTTGAAATATGGCTGTTCCACCGTTGAGTCATAATATTTAGATTGTTCGTTCGTGAATTAGGTGACATAGTAATTGCGAGTTCAATCCCTGGGCCTGGCAGAGCGTATTTGGACTCAGTGGAAACAGGGCGAGCAATAACTAAGCAGGACTAAAATTAAGAACTAGACGAGATCTCTCTAGACATGGTCAGTGGAAAGTGAACAGTTTACCCCTGTAGATTAAATAAAGGGCTCAGTTCGGAATTCCATGTAGATTACTCGGATCGATATACATCTGATGAAGGCCGGCGGGCATAACGGCCGAAACGTTGTCATAACAACAAAAACGAGAAGAACAGTCCGAATGTAAATAATGTAAACTATGTAAGTTTGTTCAGATCTATTAATGTCTATATACATGTCTGTTTATTATCTATCTCAGTCTCTTCATATCTATCTATCTATCTATCTATCTATCTATCTATCTATCTATCTATCTATCTCGGTTTGTAGAGAGTAGATATTTTCTCATTTGTTAATCATAAGCACGTGTAAGGCTAGAGGCCGTGTTCCCAATTCAAATTCCTATCCAGTTTTGATAAGGCCGACCCCTATTCTCCATACCCCCGCCTTAGTTATATCATTCATGCCAAGCAATAAACTGAAGATTTCGAAGACGTCCCATCTTTGACACCGGCTTCATGTTCTTTCTCTCCGCCAAACACGTAGTTTGCATATGCAATCATCCTGAACCAGATAAACATTGGTGATTAACTAAGGAACAGACGGTACTTACAAAATAGAAAACAATCTCAAGTTCTTTTTTTTTTAATTATTATTATTTATCTTCATTTTTTTTTCTTTTAAAGAATTCTCGCTCTGTTATAATTTGTTTATCTTGAGAAACACTATTTTGCTGATTCTGCGCCTCTGGAGATTTGTATTTGTTTTCAGAGTTTGTTATCACGATGTACGGATTACTTTTATCTTGGAGAGGAAAAGGCGTATCACATAGATTTGACATGAGCGCTTGTGATTAACACGATTTAAAAAAAAAAAAACCTTGAGTTTATCATTTTCCTTTTCGATTGAAGAGAACACAATATGATCAGTAAATGAGAAAGCACTGATATTTTGATTTTAAGAAATATATTCCTCTTTCATGTTATTTCCACCGCGTTTCGACTCATCAATTCTACTTCTTCTTCGGCTGTACGATCCGTAGGAAAAGTGGCGATTTCTTTTTTACCGGCAGGGCAAAACAAAAAAACAAAAAACAAAAAAACAACAACAAAAAACAAACAAAAAACAGAGCACGTTGGAGCAAATAGAATTTATTCTTAAATATGTACAGTAACACAACCAGCAGAGCATATTCCATAATTGTTTAAACATGAACATCTCATTTCATTGAATCTTTATTTTTTTGTGATTCAAAGATTTCCACCCCGTCTACCCGTTGAGTAAGGAAAGCTACAAACTAGAAATTCATGCTGATCTGACTTAGGCGTTTATTTAATAGTTTTATAGATGCCGATTTCTTCATTTTTCTCCCAGATGGTAATGTAAGCGCCCCCCTCCCTCCAGGCACGAACTGCCATATCAAGTTATCCACTTGCTTCGAAATAATTTTTCTATGTTCTTTGAGTTTGAATTAAAGGGAACGATGGATAATCTACCTTATATTCTTCTCCTTACATCCATAGAGGGTTTGAGGAGTGTGGAGCTACCGTTTAATTGCTGTTGTTCCAAGACCCACCCTGACGCAGAGTGGTAACACCTGTTAGGGTCCCAGTTATGGGCAAATAGTAAACCTCCCAACAAAAACAAAACATTATGCAATACATTTTTATATAAAAATTACCAACATTACACATTTACAGAATTACCAACAATATATTTTAAAGCAAAATGGCGAACAAAACATTTTATCTGAGTTGAAGGCATACAATTATATTTAGTTGAAGACATAAAATTCTGTTCAAAATATTTAGATTTCGGCATTAAATAACCTATAGAGATGTCGATATGCAGTCAAAAATTAACCAACCAATTTAGATGAAAGTACTTTTTCAGAAAATTAATCCATATATCAAACAAATTCTGTATTCCAAAATATAATTTCAACAAAACAATACAAAACAGTACTTATATCCATACAAACATGTATATTAACAAAAGTTGAGCATCATCTACCATGTATTTAATTGTGAAAGCAGAATAACATATTTTTATTATTTGAAATCTCCCAAGAAAATTAAATTTCGGCATTAAATGGCCCGTGAGGAGTTGATATGCCGTTAAACAAAGAAATCAATTAATCAATCAATACATGGAATCTTATAAAATCAATTTCTGTTCAGTTTCACTTTCGGATAGCATCAAAGATAGTAAGAAGATCACAAGGAACGATTAGGCTATTGAAGGCTACTGATTAGGCTATTGATTAGGTTATTGATTAGGCTAACCTTAACCCTAACCCTGATAATAGAATATACCCAAATCTTTTGGCTGTGGTATTCTAGAGGTACATTCTTCTATTTTTCTACTTTGAAACGATTTAGGACAAATAGTAATTACCAAAAAGTGTTTTCTCGAAATCCTTGTTTCCATCAGTTTCGCAGAAGGACTACTAATGGCTTTTGACCGGTGCCTGATATTTTTTAAATGAGCCAAGAATTGGCCTACGGAAAATAGGTGGGTTTTGAAATTCTAATATTTTTTCCCACTGGCGTAAAATTACGAAAACACTAACTGTTTTACTTTGGTTTTGGAAGTTCAACTTTATAAGCTGACAGATATACACTAGGAGTAGTCATTAGTCGGGACTTATATTACGTCCGACATTTTGATTTTGTAAATAAAATGTATTTCCTGTTAGATGGAATTTCTATTTGCTCTTATGTGGGCCAGAATTTTTTGGCATTAAAAATGGGCTATATCCATTTTCTTCTTCTTCTTCTTCTTCTTCTTCTTCTTCTTCTTCTTCTTCTTCTTCTTCTTCTTCTTCTTCTTCAGGATGTGGGTGTCTAGGGCTTTTCACAACTGCCTATGCTTTCTAGCTCATCCCCCCCTTACTATCCCCTTACACCCAGTTCTGCCATCCATTTACACAAGTTCATTAGAAACTCGCTATTTCTTCCCGTCACTTTTGCTTTTGATATGTCTTGTGAGTGTCAAATTTTACCAACCTTATTTCCTCATTCTGTGTCCCAGAAAAATCAACTGTCCTTTTTCTAATTATAAGTACAAGTGACCTTTCTGTTCCTTAAAAATTCCTTGTTGCTTACATGAAGCGTGTATGTTATTCTCATCATCCTTCTGCAGAACCACATTTCTGTTGCTTCATTTCTCCTCTTCATCTGTGAGGAAACTATTCAGCGTTCATTACCATATAGGAGGATAGATATTACGTTTCAGTTCATCAACCTTTTCTAACGAAATTTTCTTGTTTCATAATTTTTTGTTTAGTTTTGGGAAGGGATCTTTTCTTATTCCAATGAGCATTCGGATTTCAGTGTCCCATTTTTCCAAAAAAGGTCGCGTGCAGAAACAAGTAAAGTATGTAGTGGCCTCTCTTCAGTTTATGTGGAAATAGACTTTGCACTCAGTGTCCTTCAGTGAATCCAGGTGTAGAGATGACCTTCTATACACTCGGGAAAGCCTCCACCCAAAGCTAAACACCCAGTGGCTGACGGTGATTAACAAAATTTGGAGTGAAATAATTAGTGGCTGTTACGTATGAAAGCTTCAGTTTCCTGTTTTCATTTGTAATCTCCCGATGATAACACTGCGATAGACAATATATAATGAATCTTTTACAAGAATTGAACAGGTGAAAATAGTTAAGTCATAAAAACGAGTCGCTTATGCAATCTTTTTCGTTTACCCCTAAGTCGAGCTTTTGCTGTTATTGATTTTTGATCAGAAACAATTTGATAGGATGTGTTACAGACTTTATAATTTCAGGCATTATTTTTGGATTCCTTGTTTATGGGTCTATGGTCCAATTGTACTTTGGCACCATTTTGGTAGGAAAATCTCCCTAATTTTCCATCTCGTTTACAGAATCCACAACTTAAGGTCAATGGGATTAACATCCATTTATCATTTCATGAAGATTTTTTGTACTTTTCTATTTGTCCATTCAATGGAAACCTGATATTTTGTTGATATATTTTTACATTTATATTTCCACCTATCCAATGTAATGTGTTGTGTTTTGAGACTTCGTTCCTTTCGTAGATGACGATGCAAGTGAATTGGTTTATCTTGATTTGAGGAGTTCGTTGGAGTATAGTACCTTTTATGATTGTAATTGTTGGATTACAATGAAATGTCGCAATCGCTATTCGTGAATTGAAGAATTCTATGCTGATGGATTGATTTCTAAGCTCTTCAGCTCAATAGCAAGCCAACGTCTCCTGCTGCTGTAGAGTAATTCTCTGCTCTTTTGTTGCTGAACTTACGGTCAGTTTCAAATCATTGCACAATTTATGATATTTCCCCCACCCTCAGATTGACGTTTGAGACCTGCAAATTCGATTTGATATGTATCAGGCATATATATGACAGATAAAATCTGTGTCCTTGATTGGGTTGATTCCTTGTATACATACATACATGCATACATATATAGATATATATTTTTTATGACAATAAACGTTATTTTTAGTGTGTAAATTTGAGGTGCTATCCCTGGTTTTTTGTTTTTTTATTTAAGTGAAATTAATAACAACTGGCCTAAATCGAGAAGTGCTAATAAAGAAAGATTGTGCCCCCGACAGGAATTGAACCTGTATCACTTTTTTTTTTCAGTCAGGGAAATCACTTTTTTTAGTCAAACCATACGCTACCATTTTTAAATAGCGTAATAATTAGTGATGGGACTATTAATCGGAATCGGAATCGGCATCGAAGAATTTTTAACCTAATTTCCGATTCCTAAAACGATTCTGTGGATTTTTTGGTTTAAAACTTAATTTTCCATTCCTGGTACTAATGATAAAAAGATATAAATATTTATCGATTTTAAACTATCAGTAAAATTAAAATCTATAGATCATAACAACACCCAGGTTAAATATGATGAAAATTTATTTTACTTGTATGAAAAAGGAAAAATGTGCAAGTTTCTACTCAGTTCTCGAACTTTCCATAAAGTTCACTAGTTTAAAGTCTGTTTCAGTTCAAAATAAAATTTATTATCTTTAATTTATTTTTAAACATTGTTAATTCACCCATTTAATATTATAAAATATTTTTTAATAAGTATAAACAAAATTATGTAAGATAAACATAAAATGAATTCCCGTTGTTGTTCTATCGGGCTCTCTTTTAAGACAATTTATTTTTATTATTTTTTAATTTATAAAAATAAAAAAAATGAAAAAAAATGAACGTATTGAATTCCCGCCAATGTCACAAAATGATTTTTTTTACATAAAAATTGACCTTGTGTCCCAAATTGTCCTCGTGGTGAAGCAGTTAAATTACAACAATTTGTTTTCATAATAGTTT